AGGACTCTGCATGTGACCCTAGCCACAAAGGGTCTCCAGGCCTGGATACCCCAGGTCCACTGAGTGCAAAGGACGGTTGTTCCCCAGGAGTGTGTCTTCCGGTGGGCAGCTGGGAGGGGTGGGTCAGCTCTGCCCCCCCACTGACCCAGGATAAATGCATCCCAGCCGGGGCAATGAAAGCTCAGGCATTTGCTGGTCCGTGGGGGCAATGCCAGATTTAGGCACAGCTGAGCGAGCTGCAGCTTAGGGCCTGAGATCAGGAGGAGCATGTAACTCCCCAAAAGGACTCGTTTGCAGCTGCACCTCGCCTACGGACCGGCGTAGACGCAAATGCAAAACTTTAGTCTTTCTGGTTTCGTTCCCCTTTCTGGGAGAACAAGGCGCATCGGTGTGGCCCTGCTGGGGGCCTCTTACACTTGACATCACTTAGGGCATGTCTTAACCCAGCCCAGCGTGGGGGGCTGTACACCCCAAGAGCGGCACCCCTGGCGGGGCTATGGCCCCAGCCATGGCTCGCCACCGGAGTCGGTAGCAGGACTATTGCCGCCTGGCATCCCATTAGGGTGGCCCAGCGAGCCGGCAGTGGGGAGGTGCAGGGGGCAGTTGCGGGCAGGGTAGAGAGAGGAGCCTGGATGCATGGCTCTCCCCACAAGCGTGGGTCTGGGTGGGGAGGAGGGATTAACCAGGCAGAGTCCTAGTGGAGATGATTGTAACCCACTGGTCAGTAGAGTCAGCTGTGCCCAAGCCTCCGGCCCAGCCCCTCTGCCTGAGCTGGTGCTCTGAGATCCCTGGTTCCACCCTCAGCCTACCAGCCAAGATGGCAGATGTCTTGCAGCCACTCTCCAGTCACAGGGAGGAGTGTTTCCTAGTGGTTAGAGCACTGGTCTGCAGGGTGAACACGTCGTGCCTCCGAGCCTCAGTTTCCCCATCTGTGAAATGGGGGTGACCAGACTGACCTCCTGGGGGAAGTGCTTTGAGAGCTAGGACTGGTTATGACTCAGCCCTTGCACTCTGTCACTGTGGGGTGTCCCCGGGGGGAAGCCCCTTTTCGCTTTCTGACAACCCACTGCCCTGCCGGATGCTTCTCTGGAATATTCATAGGCAGGCGACTAAATTAAACCACCTGGAGAAAGCGATTTGGTCTGCTGGAGGGTTTGCGGTGCCAACAGCTGGGAGAGGTGTGATTGAGCTTGGCAAAGCGGCTGAGTCACAGCAGCTCCGCTTCCCAAGGTCTTTGCTCTGGGGATGTGAAAACCTAGGAGACTCATAAGCCACGGAACACTCATTTTACACTGGGGAAACTGAGGCACCGAGCAGGCTTAATGTGAACAAAATGCTACAGGCAAGCCATTGGTAGAGACAGGACTAGAAGCCTGGAGTACTGGCTCATCGCTCCAGGCCTCACCACTGCACCCTACTGCCCTCCTACAGCCAGCAATAGAAACCCAGGGGTCCGGGTCAACACTAACCACATTCCTGTCATGAGCTAGGAACAGAACCCAGGGGTCCTGGCACCCAGTCCTGTACTGTCACCACTAGTCCTCACTCCTCCCCCACAACCAGCAGTAGAACCCAGGATCCTGGCACCCAGTCCTGTACTGTCACCACTAGTCCTCCCTCCTCCCCCACAACCAGCGGTAGAACCCAAGGGTCCTGACTCCCCATCCACCCTGCTCTAGAACCACCAGCTACCACTCTCCCCTCGGTGTGGCAATAGGACCCAGGAGTCCGGGTGGTGCCTGCTTTACAGCCCTGTGGTGAGGCTGCAGCTGGGGCGCACCCAGCCTCCTGTTTGCTCCGGGTTTGCTGGGGGCTGGGAGTGCCAGGGAGCGGGCCTGACAGCAACATTTCCCAGCTGGTCCCTGGGCCTTGCCTGAGCTCTGCTTCCGCTGCACGTTTGCCTGCAGGGCGGCTCAGGCTGCCGTCCTGCGAGTCAGGGCCTGTGGCAGCGCGTCAGGCTGGCGGAGGCCCACGAAAATCTCCTCAATAGACGTAAGGAGAATTACTTCCTTGAAGACTTCCTTGGGAGCCCTTGGCTACGTCTACACTGCATCCCTCTTGCGGAAGAGCCAATGCAAAGAAGCACTCGTTAGCACCGTCTCGCACTTCATTTGCATGTTCTCTTCTGATGCTCTTTGCGGAAGAGAGATAGACATGTAGCCGTGTTCGTCTGGTGCAGCTGAAACAAAAGACAGGACTAGGTAGCACTTTAAAGACTAACAAGATGGTTTATTAGATGATGAAAATGCAGTGTAGACCCCTTTGCGCACGAGCCCTTATTCCTCAAAAAATGAGGTTTACACGTTCTGGCATGAAAGGGGGGTTTTGCGCAAAACAGACCCGTCTACATGGCTTTTTTGTGTGCAAAAACCTCTTCCGCAAAAAGCATCGAAAGAGAATATGCAAATGAAGTGCGAGACGTTGCTAATGAGCACTTCATTTGCATTTCCTCTTCCGCAAGAGGGATGCAGTGTAGACAGGGTGACTAACGCATGCCACCGGCACCTCCAGCCCCAGATCTGCTGGTTCCCTCCCAGGAAGTCTCAGGCCCAGCAGATATGGTTAGAAAGGTGGCAGTAGGAGGCTGTGAATCGCATTCCAACTCCGGCACTGGCTCACCATCAGGCCTGGGGCAAGTCACTTCACCTGGATGGCTCAGGTTGCGCGTGGATAAGGCAGGGACAACGGGGCTTTCCTCCCAGGGTTGGCAGCAGGGTAGTTTGTGTTTGCAAAGGGCTCAGGAGGATTTAGTTGTGGCTTCCAGGTCTGCCCTGGCATGGAGGAGCTTTGCAGAGGCCCCACCGTCGGAATGGGTCAGGTTTATTGCCAGTGGAGGAATGGGGAAACTGAGGCATGGTGCCGTACCAAAGATCAGAGGGCACATCAAAGTTAGGACTAAAACCCAGGGGTCCTGATGTCAAATCGCCCCTACTTTAATTCCTAGAAACACTCTCCTGCAGAACTCAGGAGTCCTGGCTTCTTCCACTCCCCATGCTCTAACCCCTAGGCAAGGTGTCTGAGGAGGGCACATTATCCCATTAGTGGTGCCTGTCAATCCAGTCCTGCCTCATGCACCGCTGCATGGCTGATTAATTGGGCTTTATGCTCATCTGTCCAGCCAATTGCCTCAGCTGATTAACTGTCCTCCAGGGACACTGCTGTGTAGCAGGAGAGTCCCACGCAGCTTGGAACAGCAGCTAATAAGTTGGCCAACTGTAGACAGTCAATCACCTGGCGCTAAAAGGGCAGCACTGCTGGCTGGCAGTAGTAGTTGGTTGTTATTCTCCATGGGGGGGGCCCCATGTGTTACCCTTCCTGGTCCAAAGGGCACATCAGGGGGAGGCAGGAAGGCACCAAAGTTCCCTCTAATTTTTTCATCCCTGGAGAGAATGATTTTTGTTATGTGCACGGAGGCATGTGTGGCTGTGCACCACCAGTAGAAACACAGGCCGCCAGCTGTGGGTGCTCCACTAATCAGCTGGGCTGGGCAGCATTTGATTCTCTCCTGGGTGGCTGCCCGAGCACCCGGTTTACAGGGAATGTTGGTGGCAGCTCCCGGGGTGGGATGAAGACTGGAGACCCACAGCTGCTGGGGTGGGGATGGATTTCCTCGGCCAAGTCTGCCGGCTGCCAGCGCTAACTGCCCATGAGGCTACTGCACATGGGCTGGACTCCTGGGTTCTGTCCCTAGAACTGCTGTGGGACCCGGCCCCTTCCCAGCAGCCAGAGAGCCCTGGAACCAGGGGTCAGTAACACAGCAGCCTTAGGGCCAGGGCAGAAAAGGAGCAGGGTGCAGAAGAAGCCATCAGCCCGGCTCCTGCAGCAAGCAAAGAGGGAACGGCCGGGGCAGAGCCTGGCTTCAGGGAGCCACAAATACGCTGGCCAAGCAAGGCCACTGGCTCAGCCTTTTGCAAATCCTTGCTGGGTTGGGGCTGCAGGCAGCCTGGGGGTTCAGGGCTGCTCCGCACTTCAGCTGTGCAGACAGAGGCTGCAGAGGCTGCCGGGGGCTGAGCTGGATGGTTCCCCTTCTGGCTCTGGGGCCTCTCTGCCGGATGTTACCTTCCCCCGCGGGCTTGGGACCAGGCCGGGAGGGCGTGGAATCGAGGGAGAACTCGACTTGCCCCAGGTCAC